TTATGATCATGGGATTATAATACTTCTAAAAGCAATATCCGAGTTCTTAAATTTTTCTAAAATATGTAAATATTTGGGAGTTGAAACTAGATGATCTTAAGGTCCTTTCCATATGATTCTATGACTCTAAACGTAAAAACAAGGAGAAGAATCTAAATATTTCACTTTCTCCAAAGATTTTATGTTATGAGATAGAGGGAAAAGAAATGGTTTAAGTGAAACCTTTCACAAAAGCCAATAATTTAAAAAAAAAGAAAGTAAGAGATGATGGTGTAGAAAAATATTTGAACTCAAGATACTTTTGTATTTCTTCTTTGTTAATCACAACTGCTTGATTTGGCTTTGATGTCAGCAACGTCACGGCACTCTTAGTGAACAAAGATCTTGTCTGACAGATTACAGTGCAGGGGTAGGGTGTTCCAACTGGCAGTCATTGACAGTTTTTTAAATGAAATTTTGAAATGAGAACAAATGCCTGAAAATAAAAGATTGTTAGGCAGAGGAATTCTCAGATATGCAGTGGGAAGGTTTAGTAACAAAATGAACACTGAACTGATATCAACAGTGTGCTGCCATAATCTCTGTGTAGAGATCATTGTTGAAAAGATGTACACAAACTTAATAAATGCACTGTCCAACTTCATAAAGTTATAGACTATTTAAAACAAAACTTCAGGAATATAACCAATCCAAATAGAAATAATAAAATACTGTGATGGGTAGATGGAGGAGTAAATTATGAGTATCATCTTCACAGCCATAGAAAAACAGATTACAGTTTTATGACTGAACTAGCTGAAGTGAGAAAATAGATGGAAACAAGTGACTGACAGGTAAGGAAGCTAATTAACCAGGCTTTTCAGATTCTCAATGGGGTACTTCAGCCCACATGAAGCACTGTTCTGGATTCCAGTACCTGAATTAGGCTGTTCAAAGACAACTCAGATATCCCAGCCATTGCCATACTTAGTGTAGATGTCACACATAAGCGTGTAAGTAGATAGAAACTGTGTTCAAAACATCATTAGTTCTTTTGGCTAGCATGGAGTTCATTCAGAAACGTGTTAATGTACTAATTTAGAAAAAAAATTTCCAAGAAATGGATGAGCTGGTTTCTGAGTCAGACCAACATATTTTTGCCTGTATGTAGTTCGCCTTCAATGAATGTATCTGCATGTGTCACTGAAGACTTACTGAGTGAAATACGTATTTTCTATGGACTGTTAAATGAGAAATGTAATAAGCATTACTAAACAAAATAAAAACATATATCCTTCTTACTCAGTATTTCACTACTCTAAGTCTGGAATTTTCTTCTGAACTGTGGTCCAGTTTCAACATATGAGCTGGAGATGAGCTTGATCCCATGTTTGCTCTAAAGCCTCATGGGCATTCTCCCAGAAGGAACAGGTTCAAAGTTTTCATCAGTCAAAAAAAAAAAAAAAAAAAAAAAATTAACTGAGCTTCCCATTTCCTAAGCAAGTACTCTAATCAGAATGAAACTGTACAAAAAGTTCCTCCTGTTCAGGCACCTGCTCTGAGAAGACCCCATGCTGCGAATCCTACCTGTAGTGAAGCACTTAGAATGAAATCCTGTGTCAGATCAGTCTTCTACCTTGTTATTTCTCTAGGCTATGACTCTGCAGCTCTTTCTCTTTCCTCTTTATTTTTTTTTTTTTTCTCTTGATGCCTGCCTCCCTTCCCCCCCAGATAAATGCTGGATAATAAGAGAAGATGTGGTGAATCTTCTGGTGAGAAAATCTATCTTGCTGCAAGAGCTCTGATCAACTATGCAGATAACATAGCCGAGAAACCTCTATAACAGAATTAAGGGGCACATGAATAGACTACACAGCTTTGCGAGGGCTTCTGCCAAGAAGGATAAGTCTGAGCTGTGGAGAGGGGTGCAAACAGCGATGTAACTCAACAGCAGAAAATGACCAGGGTGACCTCAAAGACAGTGTTGCATGAACCTAATTAATCTCCTGTACAAACAGACACTATATCAAAAAAACCCCACCCCACAATATACATAAACTCTAGTAAGCTCCCATTCAGTTCACCATATGGAAACACTGAGTCACATAGCAGAAGTTCTAATTTCTGTACAGTCAGTGAAGACACAAATCCATCTCCTGCACCCCTTTAGATATACCCATGAAGTGTACACTATAGTGAAGTTTCTGCTCAATCAATGAATAAATTCAGTATCTACAGAATGTGATGCAAGTATCAGCCAAGAATTAATGCAAGGAACACCAAGATACCTCTGGGAAGTATTTCTCGGTACTCCAAGTACCAGCTCGTATCTCTAATCACTCAAGGAACATTATCATGCCTGATCTCTCTTCCATCTCTTCTGACCTATACAAAAGTATATGCACTTCCAGACAATGAGGCATTTTCTAAATTGTATATTTACATTCAAGTACATGTATTTTTCAGTATCAGTGAATACAGAGTAATCTGATGTCTAGTGCTTAACTATCAAAATAGACTGTATTTAAAAGCAAATGAAGACAAAGTAGATATGACTAATTTCTCAAGAGAGAACTAAACTTCACTGAGTTGCTCAAAAAAATGCAGCATATTATACAGAAGTTCAACTGAAGAAAACTGCCTACAAAGGTATATGCATACAAGGAAGTACTATGTTAGACAAAAGAATTATAATATCAGCTGCTGCTTCTGAACTGAAGCATAAACTATTTGTTAAGATATTAGTAACTGCTGTTCAAATACTAAATACAAAAATCAGAGTTGTCTACAGATTACCTATGTGGAAAGCCTCCAGTTTGTGAGTTCGGGGGTTTTTTTGTTGCATTTCTTTCTTCTTAGCTATTGCACATACCCTTCCTGCAATTCTTGCATGAACAACGTTTTTACCCCAAACCCAAACACAAACAATTGATTTTTTTTCTTTTTTTTAATAGACTCCATTTTTATTCTGGACAAGAAAGCTGAGGAAATGAAAGGTGAGGGGCGGGCAAGAAAGGCTATCCTTTATAATATCTGCATGGAAATTAATGGGAGAAAAAAAGAATTCTTGTGTCATTGCCAAGATGCAAGTTCTTTAGCTCTGCAAAGATGAATTGTCTCTCCTCCATTTGCTCTTTCATTTGATGGTCTGTAGTGTGACTAGCCAAGCTAGGAAACAAGTCTATACTTCTTTGGAACCTGCACAGTTTTAGACTCAGGCAAAATTCAGCTAACAACAATAACAACAACACAGGATAGAAACTGAAAAGCAGCATTTGAAAAGGAAATGCTTAACTACCATGTAAATTAGTCATTCACATGGTCATGATGTACTATGGGAAATACCATTTTTTAAGTACATGTGTTCAGAAGGTTCTCCAACTATTCCATGCAACACTTGCCCAAGGAGCTGAGGCAAGTCATACGCTGTTGACATTTTTCTTTCACATTTCCAGACCTATAGAGGTCCACAATGA